AACGAGGGTAAAGCAAATCCAGGAACTTCAGCTTGGTGAATCCTCTGAAAGTTTATAGCGAGTTTGTGTGCTCTGTTGTGGGTTGTTTTGTGAAACAAATCTACGCTATATATTACTGTCCTATGGTCCTGATGCTAGCTGCTACTGCAAGGGGCAGTTGCTTCACTTGCAGCCCTGGGCTAGGTTTGGGATCCTCAGCACCTGCCCAGTTCAGTGCAGGCTAGACACAGCCAGCAATCACAGGGAAGTGCTACCATAGGAAGACCTCCTACAGTAGCAGCATTACGGTTATCTCACTCTGTTAACTCTATCTTCCACTGATTTCCTCTTTTTTCTCTCTCAGGAGTGTGAAGGAGTTCCACATCTCCTTTCAGACCACAAAGAAGCATCTCAGAGCCTCACTGAGCAGGGAGGAGCAAGAAGGTGACATGCAAGCAGAGCAGGATCCTCTGCTTGGTGGCTGCTTCTCACTGTCCCCATGAATTTCCTTTTTTAAAGTTAAGAACATGGCAGGAGGCATGGCTAACATGAGTACTTACATGATCACAAGCATGGGTCTGAGTTACCTGTATTTGTGCCATAGCAAGCACCCTGATAGTATTATCTGCAATACTACTCAACATAATTTGAGTTAGAAGACCGCTGTGCAAGTGAATGGCGTGCATTGCCTATGTGTGTTGGGAGGTGTCTTGGAAGATGGTACAGACCTTGTCAGGCAGTTTTAGCTAATAGGTGGGTATGAAAGCAGTGACCCTACCAGCTGCGGACTGTGACGTGCCAAGTTGCTGGGTCAGGAATGGCTGGCAGGAATGCTCCCCTAGATGATTCCCTCCCTGAGAATCCTTGTATGGTGAAGTGTAACACTGGATTTCTTTCCAAGGCCCCAGAGGCTATTGTTTTAGTAAATCTGAACAGGGGTGTTTTCCCCGAGAACCCATTCAGTGTAAATGTGCACTACAAGCCACTGGGGAAGACTGAAACTTTTGAATTGCTTATAATAGCTAATTTGTAGATCTACACATGGGGTTAGCTGCAATTTCTGAGCTGGTTCTATTAGACTTCATTTAATGAGACTTTCTATTGCATTATAAAACTGCAGAAACCCTTGTTTGTGCAATTTCAAGTTCTTTGTTGTTGAGACTTTGCCATAACACTGTTTTGGTGTCTGTAGTCTGTCCTATTGGTCATAAATGGGCATCAAAGGATTTTTTTTTTTTTTCCTCCCTTTTTTTTTGAGTCAGTCTTTGTTCTTATAAAGGCTTTGAGAGAGTTTCTGGTATTTCTGTATAGGAGCCCTGTAGGAGAGAAAGCAATGAATAGGCTGGAAAATAAAAAACTTTCCCAAGTAGCATAATACCATGCTACCCACAAGCTGTATCACAGTGAAAATTACTAGCTAGGGAGTTTTATTAAAATATTTGATATCATTCCAGTTATTATATCATATGAGAGAAAGTTCAAAGTGTCATGTTTGCATTGGCTGCCATAGAGGTGCCATTTTCTCCAACAGGCATATGTTACTCGATTATCATTATCTTGCATTTCTCTATTTTCTACACCAACCCTTAAAAACATCTCTGGCACCAAAGGCTCTGTTCAGCAGCAGGCTGGGTAGCCTCCTCCTGTACTTTCTCTAAGGGAACTGAGATCACCTGGCTTCTTCCAGGGCTTGCTCTCCACTGAGCAATGATCAGGTAGTTCCCCAACAGTTCAAGTTTCTCAAAGCCACACCGCTATTTTAAAGTCAGTGGTATTTCTTCCCCTAAACATTTTGACTGTGTCATGGTAACAGCTACTTTTAGTTCTGAATTTGTTTTCCCATGCTTCATTTAAAAAAAAAAAAAAAAGTCAGTTTCAATTTATTCCCTTTCAATGTAAAAATCACTATTTTTAACTTTTAGTAACTATATACAGTTATACCAGTAGTTTGTGAACTGCTTTGGATCCCCTATGCAAATGTAAATTACTATACTGATTGCTAAAAAAAATGTTTGTGATAACAACTGATCATATTAATTACAAAGAGGCATGTTCTGAATATTCATAACAAAAGCAAATGTACAATATAAGCACACGTGTTGTAAGCTTTTTAGCAGGGGGTGACAACAAGAGGGGAAGCAGGAAAATTCAAATTCTCAGTACATATTGGAAAATGAAGAAGTCAGCTAAAAAGTAATTAATGGCCCATTTTTTTTTCTGTCCAGTTAATTTTAATAGGTTTGCATGGGTGTAACCCTGATTGAATAACCAAATGTACAAATTCTTAATATTAACAGTTGAACATTTTGTTGTCCAAGCCAGGGCTAAGGAAAGGATATTTAAGATCCTTAAATGTAACCCTTAACAAATGTACTGCAAATAATTGTAGTAATTGTTACTACTATTATTATTACTACTATATTTGAAGAGTGCTGGCAGTAAAATGCAGTGGATTCAAAAATAGGTCTTCCCAAGTGCAATTGGATGATTACTTAGTTTGGTCAAACTAAGAAGAGACTTATTTCTGCTGTAGAAATCCAATGCTCCTTTTCAGAGTCATCTGATCAGCAAGTAAGTGACAATCAATCAAATTTAACTAAAATCGTGTATGCAAGTCTTTTGCCTATATAAGCAAAACACAGAAGCTTCATGGGTATTTTTTTGAAAAATAAAAATCCTCTACTCAAGTTCTGATTACCAACTAGTTCTCATAAATCATTATGCAACTTGCATATATTTATGAATGAACAGGACAATGAACATATAAAAAATAGTTCAATGAATTAATTTTATAAGGGAAATCAATAGTTTGTGACTTCTTTTGCACTAAGTCTGAAAAAAAATCCAGCAGTACTACCTAGTAGTATTGAGACTTTATAATAAAGTTGAAACATGCTGCTAGTTTTAGCTCTGAAGTAGTCCTGCAGGACCATTAAGGTGAGATATATACTAGCATCTAGTTTGAGAACAAAACCAATTATAAATGGATTGTGCTTCTTACCAAGAATCTACACCTTACCATGGTCCAAAGGAGAAACATAATACCTACAGATATGGATATTTCATATTAGTTTATTCCATACTACATTTAGCTTTACAAACCTGCTGGATTGCCTGATCCAGGAAAGCTCCTTTCACTCCATTGGTGGAACTAACCATATCATTAAAGTTACAGTTTGTTGTACATCCTCTTCTGGATCAGGGCTGTTAGCACTGAATAATAGTAGTAATTAATATTAAATAGTATGTCTTCTTTATAGAAAACTCATGATAAAATACCTTATACCTCTCTAATCTGCCTCTTCTTTGAATGTTTTAAACAATTTATGTAACAGTCTTTGCTGCTGTAAAGTATAATTGCAGGTTTTCTGCCTTGACTGGTGGAAGGGTTACAATGACATTCTGTAAGATCACTATATTATCTCAAATACCTTACGCAAAGGTTCTCTCTGATCAGCTCAGTGTTCTGTATATTGTAGGAGATGCAGATAATAGTGTCATTCACATAAATTTGCATTAATGATACTGAATTTTCCTAAAAGACTAAATTTAATCTACATTTCAAAAAACGAAAAAGGTGACCAAAATTTTTCTGATATGCACTCTAGCTGAGCATCAGTTGTTAAAGCAGGTAGAAAATAAAAACCTTTTTCTTAAGATTCGGGGTAAAACTTGAAAACTGTAAACACATGTAGGCAGCTGAGGTCCTATTCGTGAAGGCACTTGGAGAACATCTGCATGGCTATGTGCTTTCATGGTCCAACTCTCCTGCTTTTGCTGGCCCAACATCATCTTTCACACCCCTAGTGCAGAGCCTGCTCATAGCTTTTGAGAGCTATTCCTCCCTCATGCTGCAGTTACAAAGATTTGGTGTTAGGGATGCTGGGGCATGTAGTGTCTCAAAAACTTGCAGCCATTTTAGGAATTATTTCTTATTGTGTAAAACCAAGTCCATCTTTTCTGTCCCTGTAAAGTGTCAATGGCTTTAACTCAGCTCTAGCCGTACTTGAGGCACCCCTAAGATTGCATTCTAGTTCTTTTTCCTTTCCTCCATCTCACTGCTGTTAATTCCAGCTGACTATGCTTGTCATGCAACAGGCAGATGTTCTGTGAGATGCTAGATCCTGCACACCTTTCAGGTGTAAGGTCTGTTCAGAAGGAGACGGGTCATAGTTCTCCATAGCATGGAGAACTGAGGTGACAAGCAGTGGCAGATATATTTAATGATCTGGCCCTAAGCCTCCAGGAACAGAACACTTACTGCCTGCAGTAGGAACAGTTGCCAGTAGAGCTGCTGATCCCTAACTGTCATGTAAGTTCATGACTGGTCCAGTACTGGCAAATCATAATTTCTGGGCTAGCAAGTACGCATAAGACAATCAATCGTGTGACTTGTGTGTGGATAATGGGTACAACTAATGTGCCTGCAATTGCAGCTGGCTTTCCAATAATGGGCTTCCCAAAGTGTGCTGAGTGTCATTAATGGTATTCGTGGCTGCAGGTCGTTTGCCAGAAAGAGTAAGTAAATGCATTTATCAGAATTTGATGCAGACAAGCATCAAAATGAAATATGCAGGAAAGGCACATGACAAAAGCGTATCCACCTTGGGAATTCCAGGGGCCAAACTGAGTTTGTTTTGCGTGGTTTATTCTTTAGTACTGTCTTCAGGAGACAACAGGGTGAACCTTGACAGGCTGCTGAGCAAGGAGCTGATCCTCAGCTTTTAACTAGCAGGATGTTTCCTTGAAAACCAAGATTCGATTCATTTAAAATTCTCTGGGGGAAAAAGCTGTAGACAGAAAAGAACTGGCAGGAAGTTTACATGCTGCCAGTGTGATATATTCAGCACAAAATGCACATCTAACTCAGGTGACCACTTTCTTCCATTACTAACATTGGGATGCACAGAAGCATTGTTCAGTGTAAGACAGCTCATGTGAGTAAGAGAATGCAATTAAATTAACTTGAGCTAGGCACCCATGCAAGCTTTTCCTGTGGCACAGAAATGGGTATTACAGAGTATCATTGCCTAAAAGGATTTATTTGTAAAGTCTTGCATAAGACAGGGAGAAGCATACATATTCCACTCGATGATGCAAATGTTGTTGAATGTTATTCCTGAGAAGCCAGTGATACTCAGAAAAAACTAGGAATTATCCCTCATTTTGAAGCACATTTCTGGAGCAAATCCAAACCATCAGCTGGATTTTTATGACTCCTGCAGGACTCTGAAAAATCCCACATTCATCCCTAAGGACTTTTTACTCACATTCAAAGAGATAGCACTATAAGAGAAAAAAAATAAATAAAAGGTTAGAAAATGGCTTATTGTGGCCTGCAGAGTAGAGCAATCTACTACGTTATTCCTCTGACCTGCAACTTTGCAGAATTCCAGTGCTGGCAAAACGCCATCTGGAGGATCACAACTACAATGTTAAGACTCAGAGACGCTTCTATTCTTTTTTTCACTCATAATGGAAAAGCTGGTAGAAAATGCTGGACATCAGGGGTAGTAGGTAAGATTTAGGACATGGATAAAACACAATCATCTGGAGTTTTATTTCATTCCATAGCACTTGAAAGCCCAGGTTTCTTTTAAGAAATGGCAGAGGTTAGGTGAGTAACTGCCAGAGTAATGTTTTAAAAGTAGAACTATAGCTTCTAAACCACTTCATTGTCTCGAAAGCTCTTTCCTGGCTGTGTATTGTCCAGCAACTCCTGGGACAGTTTTCAGCACCTGCTCCCTCTTGGTGCCTGCTGGGCTGACATCCACAGAGTCTTGTCCTTCTCCTCTGAATCTGCCTCGGGCAGTGCAGTTGCTCAGCCTGCATGCCCCAAAGGCATCTTCTGGAAGCTTTTGCCAGCTCTCTGGCTGGAGATCTTTATTTTATAATGCTTAGAAATTCACATGCACAACTCACATTTTTCTTTAGAAATGCAATTAAATAAACTCCCAACATTATTTAAGTACTATGGAAGGAAGAAAAAATATTTGGATAAACATGTCTCTTCTTGAAGAAAGGACACAAGACTGTGGTTTAAAGATGCAGGAAATCAAATTCAGTGCTCCCCAATGACAAAACAATCAGTGGTCACATGATTCAAACCTAACATAAACCCAGTCTGACACTTCTAACTTGGCAAAATGCTTTCGGTTTGTTGACATCATGCTTTTGGGTTTTGTTCTGTATCATAGAATCACAGAATGGTTTGGACTGGAAGGGACCTTAAAGATCATCCAGTTCCAACCCCCCTGCCATGGGCATGGACACCTTCCACTAGAGCAGGCTGCTCCAAGCCCCATCCAACCTGGCCTTGAACACTGCCAGGGATGGGGCAGCCACAGCTTCTCTGGACAACCTGTGCTAGCACCTCAGCACCCTCTCAGTCAAGAATTTCTTCAAAGTATCTAATCTAAATCCACTCCCTTCCAGCTTAAAGCCATTCCCCTCATCATATCACTACAAGCCCTTGTAAACAGCCCCTCTCCAGATTTCTTGTAGGCACCCTTTAGGTACCGTAAGGCTGCTCTAAGGTCTCCCTGGAGCCTTCTCTTCTCCAGGCTATCAGGTATCACCTGTTCTGTAGTAAGCAGCAAGAGCACTGCTAGCAAAAGCAACTCTTTATCATATCCTCTCAATTCAGCAAAAATCCAGGATATGTCTGCGCTTCATTTGGATCACTGGTACTGCTTGGTGATCCTGCCACATGCAATGGCAGCATTTCCAACGACGGGACCACAGCTCAAGTGCAATCAAGGAAAAGCCAGTAGCTGCAGCTCTCATCAATGGGGTTTTAACCAAGGGGTTTTCACGAGTATCAAGAGACGTGTTCTGCTTGATGCAGCAACATAAAGTCAAGGCAGAAAAAGGCCGTGTCAGGAAACAGAAATTAAATCCAGGAAACCCTTCAAATCTCCGTTTAAATGAAGGGCTCATGTGTAGTTGTTTGACCATGTAAAATTATGTAATTCCTAGTTTCTATAAATGTGAGGGAACGACAGACAATACAAAAATAATCACACCATATCTGCTAGGCAGGAGGAAGCTCATATAGCAGTCCACCCCCAGACGTGTCTGGGGAAAGAAAAAAGCTTCACTTATATTACTATCATTATTTAAAAATAATATGCAAGCCTGGCACTTTGAATTTTTATAGCGGTGCTTTTCTGTAAAAATTAAAAGGAATATTTAATCGCCACAGCAACAGTCTCCTACTAGGACATGGCTGTGTCACAAATCATTTTAGTGGTGAGATTCGAGGTCTTTTGGTCAAAAGGTCGTAAGGAATTGGCTGTAATAATGACAGAAATCCGACCTGTCACAGCCGGGTCTGGGAGTCTTTATGGTGCAAATTCTCGTAGATTTGATCAAGGGCTGTCAGTGCCCCTGAGAGCTTCCCTCGATTTTAACTCTTTAATTCCTAGCTTTCGCACGTGTGGGTGCCAGCCGGGAATGGGGAAGGAGCTCGTTTCAACACCCCATCCACGCAGCAGGAGCCGCTGGCCGAGGCGGCACACGGCAGCCAATGCCTCTCCCCGCGTTTCGGGCGCCTGGAGGGGCCCAAACTCAAGACCCGTCCATACGCGAGGACACGGCGGACCCGGGGCGCGCGTTTCACGGCCCGCAGCCGCTGACACGCGGGTCACCGCCACAGCCGCACCCGCAGCCTCCCGCCCCTCTCCGCCCGCGGTGAGGGCACGGCGGCGCGAAGAGCGGCTCCCTGCGGCCTGCTCCCGGTGCAGCGACGGCAACAGCCCCTGTCCCGCCCCGTCCGTCCCGCGCCACCTGGCCCCGCCGTGCCACAGGGGCCGGGCGAGGATCGCCCGCGGGCCTTCCATTGTGCGGCCGCTGGCTTGGGCGGTCCTACCTGCCAGCGGCGGGGCGGGCCGGGGCCGGGCTCCTATCCGCACCTCCCCATCCCGCAATCCCCCCGCCCGTCCCCCTCCCTCCGGTCCCCGGCTAAACCGGAGCTAGCCCGCCCCACCCCGCGCCCTCCCTCCCGTCCCCAAGCCGCCGGAGCTCTGCCGTCTCCCCTCCCCCGTCTTCCCTTCTTCCCTCCCGCCGCGCAGCCGCCGCCCCTCCGCTGCTGCCCGCCGGAGCAGCCGACTGCCCCCCGAGCGCGGGTCGCTGCCGCCACCGCCTCCTCGCCCTGCCATGAGCCGCCCCCCGCTGCCGCAGCGCTGAGCGGGGAGCGCGGAGCCATGCCGGGCTGGAAGAAGAACATCCCCATCTGCCTGCAAGCCGAGCCGGAGCGAGGTGAGCGCGGAGCACGGGTGGCGGCAGACACCGCGAGGGAAGGAGGGCGGGCGAGGGAGACCCTCCCCTCGCCTTCCCCATCCCCGGGGCAAGGCGGTAGCCGTCCCGCGGTGGGACGGGCTGGCGGCCCCGCGCCTTCCATCTTGCTCCGCCGCCGCGGCGGGAGCGGGGGGCGCGGGGTAGCGGGAGGAGGAGGAGGTGGGCACCCGGGGTTGGGGGGACGACACCGGGCCGGGCCCCGCAGCAACTAACTTTTCTCCGGGTACCGCCGCCCGCGCTCCCCCCCCCCCGCGTCCCGGACCAGGCTCCTGAAGCCGGGGGGCATGAGCCGGGAAGGAAGGGAGGAAGCTTCGAAGTGAAACTTCCGCGCGTGTGGCTCAACCCCCGGACCGCCACTCGTGGCCGAGGCGCGGGGCTGGACCTGTCCCATCCTTTCCCGGGGGGCGCCGGCACCGCGGAGCCGCGAGCCCCGTCCGCAAACTGGTGGCGATCGCGCCTTGGCGCCGAGCGTTGCCCGCGGGAGCTGCCCCGCCGAGGGGTGGTCTCGGATCACTCAGCCGTGGTCGGTACCGGCAGAAGGCAGGTAGTTTGTGGTCGCTTTTCAGAATAAACCGTCTGCTTATTCTAATAACAAGGTAACTTTGGTGTTTCTTCAAAGAGGGTTTCTGGCGTGGGAAATGGGCATGTTACTGCTCTGTCCTCAGCCTGTGAGTCAAAGGAGAAAAGACTAGTACACCGGTTACGCTTGTGAACTCTTAGGTATGCGCGTCATATCTTTGATACACAGGTCATTAATTCCACGGTAGCATATGGAGATCTGGAGAAGGACGTCTGGTTTTGGTTGCTGCGGTATTGGATAGATAGCTGTACAGCTAGGGACAAAAATTCCCCGACTGTTAAAAAGCAGGAGGTTTTGTGTGCTCTGTGGAGGAAGTATTGTAGCTTTGTGTTGGAAGTGCAGGTCTGTGGCAGAACTGCTGCCCTGCTTCTGACTGGTAAATGCTATCCCTAATGGGAAGTTCATCGCAAGCGTTATGACATCATAAAAATAGTTGCTGAAATGGGAGCGGGTATTTCGGCTGTGAAAAACGAGGTTTTTAGTCTTTTGCCTTACTAGATACCATCATTACTAAAATCTGCCGTAATATTTCTTAATGTCAGGAATCTGTGTAGCTGCGGAATTGCAGAAATAGGATGGATGACAGTTGCCAAAATATGTTGGATGCTTTTACAGATGAGAAAACTTTAGAAAGGGTCTAATCTAGCTATGTCAGAAACTGGAAAGATTTTCTCATTTTGTTCTGCATAAAGGTTGTCATGAGCTGTAGCATGTGGTCACAGTAATGGTTTTGCTCTGATGGGTTTAATGCCGCTTAGAATGCTGATCTGGTAGCAGTTTTTGTTTATTCTTATTTTGTCTTTAATCTCTTTCATCTTCATTGTGAAGCTGGATAGCTTTATGTGTTAACAGTCTTATCACTGATGCTTTTTTTTTTATTGTATTCCTATTGCATAAATAAAAAGGCTCTTCCCTGCCTAAAGTAAATTATTACCTTCTAAAGTATGTTGCATTGTATATTGCTCAATTTTAGCTAGTAATTTAGCAGGATTCCAGTTACTGGAGCTTTTCTGCTTTAGGCTTGGAAAAATATGAAATGGTCAAAATAGTGAATCAATGTTGAATGTAATAGTCCTTGAGCATGAAGAATAGATGAAATAAAGCTTTCAAACTAGCCAGAAAAATGGCCTATGCAGTAATGAAATGAAGGTGCATCTTTAGCTAATGTAGGAGTTTAGTATGGCATTGAGTTAAAAGGCAGTTACAGATACAGTTAAATTCTGGTTCAGAGCCAGTTGTGCTAACATCCCCCCCTTCTGTTTCTAGAAAATATTTCCATTCAGTTACTCTGCAGAACACTTTTTGTACATCCTGCTATCAGCAGACTCTGGCAAATGTAAATACTGTTATTTTATACTAACATGGTAGCCGGTTGTTTCTGTGATTTAGATATGGAGTAATATTGGATGTGAAATGTTTAGTGATATAAATTTTACTTATGTCACATATACAAGTGCACTCATATATAGGATATAAAATATACATTTATCCATCCATCCCAAACACGTTTATATTGGATAAATAATACTTATATAGGATATAAGAATAAGAAACATTTAATGTGTGTGTATTTTCTTTGATTTTTATGTACCTATAATCTGATTGCTTAAACCAGTGTTTTCCTCTAGCGAGAGCAGTTAGGCTTTATTCAACCCCACGAACACCAGCAGGACTGACTAGTATTGATTTTGCTATATAACAACGTGAAACTGCTCTGTTAATTTAGTGCTGAAGTTTCTTGGTGGTGAGTACTCCCAAAGCAGACTGTAAAAAAGAAAAAGGAAAAAAATAACCTAACCAAAAGACCTCAGCCCACACCAGAAGAAATCCAAACCCAACCACAAACCAAATTAAACCACTTGTTTTAAGTGAGTAGCTTAATAATTGGGGTTCATCCATGTGCCTCCTGCTGGCTTTCCCTTTCAGTCTCAGCTTTACTGTCTCCGCAGTCCATACCCACCGTTCCCTGTCATAATAAACAGTTACTGTGCAGCTTTAATTTCAAGTCTAGTTGTAGCAGTAGGTTTGAACTGGAAGAGAAGTCATCTCTGAAGGTGCTGGGAAAAGCAGGAAGGCAAAGGTTTCCCTATGGTGAGCTGCAAGTGCTTAGTACAGACCGTCTTTCTCCAGGCTTTTTCCCGTCTTTCTCCAGGCTTTTTCCCCTCTTTCCCCATAGGCTTCCTTTAGCCCCTGTGTCCTGTGCGTGCACCTGTATAGAGCTGATCAGTCCCCTGTGTCCTCAGCTGTGGAAAGGATAGAAGTTGTGGGTGCTGAGATGTGAGGCTTCAGGGGTGGGTGGACTTGTCAGAGAGGATGTGAGGGCTGTGTGGAAATTTCCCTGTATTCCTGAGACACTGCAGCAATAAGGGTTCACTAGGTGCTGATACTCTCATCTTGTCTAAACCAATGCAGCGTTGCTTTGGGGAGCACCTCAAGGCTGTTGTGTCTTCCCTGGTGCTCAGTTCATTGGTATGGCAGGAACTGGATGGTGGTGCTATTGCAGCAGCCTGTTTCAGGTGTGAGGACTCAAAAAACTATCTGAAGAACTGCGTTGTTTCAATATCAGAAGCTGTTGGGATATTGCAAATGCTGATACTCTTGTGCAGACACAGCAGGTTTGCTCCAAGCAAGATTATTTTAGTGTATTGGTATCCTTGATTCCCCCTTCCTTGCTTCAGACTCCCCTTTCCGTGCTGAATGCCTACCTCAGCCTGTTGCTCCTTCAAGTCATGCGCTGGAATGGAGGTTATCCAAAAACTTGACAGAACCAGGATTTTGCTAATGGAAATTGGCTGTTCTAACTGAAATGAAGTAGCAGAGAAATAGTCAACACTGTTGGTTCACCTTGGCAATAATTGATACCTTGAGTGAAGGAGGATAACCTAGGGTAATGTTTCAAGCATTGGAGTGTGCCTGTGCACGTAGGGTTTAGCATTTGTGAGAGTGCTGCTTTGTGCAGAAGGTTTTTTTCCAAGGGGTGGCAATCAGTGCTATTTCAACAAGTATTTTTAGATGTCTTCACTGTGGAAATTATGTGGAATACTTACGTCAACTGAAAAATCACATTGTGCTGTTCTTTAGAGGCTGAGACCATATTTAAAATAGGAAGTGGATAGCTGCTTTTTTGTGCACACTGCAGCAGTTACTGGATTTCTACTGCCTGCTCTGTAATCGAGCAGTGCTCTGCAGTGGCTGTGTCACTTCTGTTCTCCCACCACCATGATTATCAGAAGGAGTCCTCTCCTTTAGGGGACAGGAATCGTGCTCTGTGTTGAGTAGAACAAATGTAACGTATGCCTGATGCAGTAAACCTTGTCATTTCAAAAGTGACACGTGAAGACTTACCAGTATTACACAGTGCGATTAAAATTCAGGTCATGCTGCCCCCTCCCCAATTTTCTGCCTAAGATGCTAAATCAAATCTTGTTATAAACCGCCTAAAACACTTTTTGAGGTGACATCTAAGCAAATACTTTGAGAAGAAAAATGTTCCTGGAATTAATTTTGTTCAATATTCCTTCCAATCAAGTTAAATGGAAGTATTTTATGGAACTCCTGTTTCAACTTCATAGCTGATCAGGTTTGACAGGAGTATGAAAAATAGTATTTGTATATCTTGTATGTTCACTA